AGATCTATAGAGATAGATCAAGACGCTTGATAAGTTTTTTCAATGAGTACATACCTTGACAAGATTTTGAAATAGTTCAAAATGGAACAATCAAAAAAAGAGTTCTTGCCTGTGTTACAAGGTGTGAAATTGAGTAAGACTCAAAGGCCGACCACGGCAGAAGATAGAAAGAGAATGAAAGTCATTCCCTATGCCTCAGCCATAGGTTCTATAAAGTATGCCATGCTGTGTACCAGATCTATTGTATACCCTACACTGATTTTGACAAGGGAGTACAATAGTGATCTAGGAGTAGATCACTGGACATCGGTCAAAATTATCCTTAGTGGAATAAGGATATGTTTCTCGATTATGGACGTAAAAAAAGGTTCATCGTAAAGGGTTACGTCGATGTAAGTTTTGACAGTGATCCAGATGACTCCAAGTCTCAATCTGGATACATATTGAAAGTGGGAGAAATTAGCTAAAGTAGCTCCGTGCAGAGCATTGTTGACATAAAAATTTGCAAAATACATATGGATCTGAATATGGCAGACCCGTTGACTAAACTTCTCTCACAAGCAAAACATGATCACACCTTAGTACTCTTTGGGTGTTAATCACATAGCGATGTGAACTAGATTATTGACTCTAGTAAACCGTTTGGGTGTTTGTCACATGACGATGTGAACTATGGGTGTTAATCACATGGTGATGTGAACTATTGATGTTAAATCACATGGCGATGTGATCTAGATTATTGACTCTAGTGCAAGTGGGAGACTGAAGGAAATATGCCCTAGAGGCAATAATAAAGTTATTGTTTATTTCCTTATATCATGATAAATGTTTATTATTCATACTAGAATTGTATTAACCGGAAACATGATACATGTGTGAATACATAGACAAACAGAGTGTCACTAGTATGCCTCTACTTGACTAGCTCGTTGATCAAAGATGGTTATGTTTCCTAGCCATAGACATGAGTTGTCATTTGATCAACGGGATCACATCATTAGGAGAATGATGTGATTGACTTGACCCATTCCATTAGCTTAGCACACGATCGTTTAGTATGTTGCTATTGCTTTCTTCATGACTTATACATGTTCCTATGACTATGAGATTATGCAACTTCTGTTTGTCGGAGGAACACTTTGTGTGCTACCAAACGTCACAACGTAACTGGGTGATTATAAAGGTGCTCTACAGGTGTCTCCAAAGGTACTTGTTGGGTTGGCGTATTTCGAGATTAGGATTTGTCACTCCGATCGTCGGAGAGGTATCTCTGGGCCCACTCGGTAATGCACATCACTTAAGCCTTGCAAGCATTGCAACTAATGAGTTAGTTGCGGGATGATGTATTACGGAACGAGTAAAGAGACTTGCCGGTAACGAGATTGAACTAGGTATTGAGATACCGACGATCGAATCTCGGGCAAGTAACATACCGATGACAAAGGGAACAACATATGTTGTTATGCGGTCTGACCGATAAAGATCTTCGTAGAATATGTGGGAGCCAATACGAGCATCCAGGTTCCGCTATTGGTTATTGACCGGAGACGTGTCTCGGTCATGTCTACATAGTTCTCGAACCCATAGGGTCCGCACGCTTAAAGTTTCGATGACAGCTATATTATGAGTTTATGAGTTTTGATGTACCGAAGGAGTTTGGAGTCCCGGATGAGATCGGGGACATGACGAGGAGTCTCGAAATGGTCGAGACGTAAAGATCGATATATTGGACGACTATATTCGGACATCGGAAAGGTTCCGAGTGGTTCGGGTATTTTTCGGAGTACCGGGGAGTTACGGGAATACGGGGGAAGAAGCATATGGGCCTTATTGGGCTTTAGGGGAGAGGGAGAGGCAGGCCGCCCCCCCCATTGACTAGTCCGAATTGGACTAGGGGAGGGGCGGCGCCCCCTCCTTCCTTCTCTTCCCTCTTCTCTTTCCTTGACTCCTACTCCTACTACTTGGAAGGGGGGGGGATCCTACTCCCGGTGGGAGTAGGACTCCTCCAGGGCGCGCCATAGGGGCCGGCCCTCTCCCCCCTCCTCCATTCCTTTATATACGGGGGCAAGGGCGCACCCCATAGACACAACAATTGATTGTTTGATTTTTTAGCCGTGTGCGGTGCCCCCCTCCATCATAGTCCACCTTGATAATACTGTAGCGGTGCTTAGGCGAAGCCCTGCGTCGGTAGAACATCAACATCGTCACCACGCCGTCGTGCTGACGAAACTCTCCCTCAACACTCGGCTGGATCGGAGTTCGAGGGACGTCATCAGGCTGAACGTGTGCTGAACTCGGAGGTGTCGTACGTTCGGTACTTGATCGGTCGGATCGTGAAGACGTACGACTACATCAACCGCGTTGTGCTAAAGCTTCCGCTTTCGGTCTATGAGGGTACGTAGACAACACTCTCCCCTCTCGTTGCTATGCATCACCATGATCTTGCGTGTGCGTAGGAATTTTTTTAAAATTACTACGTTCCCCAACAGACAGAGCCGCCCCCCGAAGGGGACACCCCATCGATCTCCGCCGCTGCCCCCTTGTTGGATAGCACCGGTACGGGAGCATCCCCGCTGCCACCCAACACAGTAGAACACCCAAATTGGCATCAGTCCTTGCCCCGTCATGCGCCTCCGCCATCGGAGCGCGAGCCACCTTCAACCCGACGCTGCCAAGGGTGGGTAGCGGTCCAACACGCGCCCCTTGATCACCCCGAACAACGACATACGAAGAAACACCCACGTCCAGATGAGACAGAAGGGAATGAGTGGATAGAGAAGAAGGAATCGGATCTGCGATGCAGAATCACAGACCCAAACGAAGATCAAACCCTAGGAACCGCCCATCGCCAGAGAGTCACAGGAGCCCTAGGAGAGAGAACACGCAACGGTCGCACTTGCCAGATGGCTGGTTTGTGTACAACCGGGATTCGGGGGGCCTAAGAAAGTGAGTAATAAGTAATAAAAAAGTGAATGTAGTCAATGTGGAAGCCAAACATGCCCAACAACCCACAAAACTTTGCTCGTAGTTGGCATCGTGCCAGTCACACGACTTCGCGACCCCGGCGAGGCTATTTGGATTGACGCCTCAGGCTGCCAAGCCAAATATTGGCGTGGACCCCTAAGGCCTTATACAATAGGAGATGCTTAGGGGAGGACCAGGCTTTCTTTAAGCACCAGTGCTTATTTGTACAGGATAGACGCTTAACTTGTAGAAATAGGCACCGATGCTTCAGAAAAATCCAATTTATTTTTCTAAGCATCTCACTAAGCACCTCTCATTGTATAAGGCCGCTCGCCGTCTCCCTCAGGGCATTTTCAACGCAGAGGCGCTTGCTTAGGCGGTTGCACCATTAAAGAAAAGGATTAATTAAGAAGCACTGGTGGAGGAGTCTGCCTTTCCAACGCAGGACCTCCAGGTTAAGCGCTTAGCTGATTTTTTTAGCGTCGATCTAGCTCCATACTCTCGTGAAAACAGGTGCATGCGGGAAATAACGGCGCAAGCGCCCGGCGACAGGAGAGGCATCGATGCCAACGGAAATCCTGGGATCGACCAGGAATCGAGCGAAACTGCGGGGAAAGAGACCCTGGCGCATGGGCTAAGAGCCCGCGTTGTAGATGCCCTCATTCGCCAATCTTTCTCCCCTCGCCGACGTACGCCGTCCGGCGCCGCTCATGGCAGCGTACCACCTCAGCGCGCAGCTCCACGGCCACGGTGGCGATGTAAGCCTCTCCTCCCTCCCCCTGTACTACTCGCCCCGCGTCCGTCGCCTCAGCTCTCCGCTTTGTTTCCCCTGCAAGTATGTACGCGATTCGATCCCACCAGGCTGGCCCCGACGAACCATCGGCGGAGGGTTTGCGGCGGGCGCGCGATCTGCTAGTTGGAGGCGTCCCCTGTAAGGGCGGCGCGGGTTTGTGTAATTTGACCTAGCTAGTTTCGTTGCCCTCCTCGTCTGTCCCCGGCGGCGCGGGGTGCTGCGGGAACAGCGCGGGCGAGGCGCTGTGTGCAGGGCGCGGTGGCGGGGCTGCGGGTAGCGACGCAGGTGGCGGGGGCGCTCGTCGGTGCTGCGGCGGCCGTACGGTTTTGGCCGCGCGTCGTCCATCCTCTGGTGGCTGCGTGCAGGCCGCCTCCAGCCAGATCCGGACGGATGTGCTGCTGGGTGGCCGGTGTGCGGCGCGGGGCGGGCCGCCGTGGTGTTGTGGTGCTGGTGCTGGGGCGGCCTTGGTCGGGGCGGCGTGGATCTGGCGCGATTAGTCATTGCAGTTTGACTTCCTTTTGATATTATATTTGTAGTGGATTTGTGGGTCAAGCAATGATCAGTTACTTGGTTTTGCTTGAGTTATTTTTACACTTGTAATCAGATTGTAACTTCCCTGTTATGTTCCACCAGAAACTCAACAAATTGTTGTGCTTATTTGAGGAATCCATGCTCATCCAGAATGCCACGTTCTGTTTTTCTAACGATGGACTTATGGTTCAAATTATAACCTGCATTTAGCATGTAAATACCAAATACCCCTTTATGCAAGCCCATGTCTGTCCAAAGGATAGTAAAAGAGAAACATGTTAGTGTTGAAAATAAAGAAGTGCTTATATGATGATCAACCAAATTTGGAGATAAAGGTGATCCCCGTGTATTAACCGATTATTCTGCTCAAACTGTTAAGAGCTTAGGCAAAGGTTATTTTGCATATGTGGAACGCATATCTACATCAGTAAGTAGTTTTAGACTTTGAGTACTGGCATGTATTCAACCAATAAAGTTAGATCCTTATAATCAAGCTCTTTCATAATTGCTACATTTGCTGCACATTTGATTCTTTGCTAACTTGTCCTTGCTCTTTTTACAATAGGTTTCTAGGATATGTATCTGTGGTGATGTGGGTGTTGCAACCTCATCAAGCGATGGAACCGTGAGATTCTGGACGCAGCACCCGGAAAAGAAGTGCGAATATGTCCTCTCGAAAACCCTTGCAGGACATTTTAGTTTTGTTGGTGCAATGGTTTGGGCCCCTCCTTCTGATCGCTTTCCGGAAGGAGCAATTGTTTCTGGTGGCATGGATACACTAGTATTGCTGTGGAATTTGCATACAGGAGAAGTTGTTGGAACAATGAAGGGTCACACCTCACAGGTGACTGGTCTTGCTATCGATGACAATGGTGACATTATATCTTCATCGATGGATTGGTATGTTTTTTCCCAACCAGTGTAATTCCTGTGCAGAACTTGCTCACGTACTTCTTGTTGATTGCTTGCTTGTGCTGATTTCATCCTGAGGGTCTTTCTTGTATATGATGTAATCACACTGCAAATGCAGACAATTTGTTCATGGGGTAGTTGTTTGGCAGATGTGGTGATGTAACATGAATGTAATATACTCCCTCTGTCCCAAAGTAAGTTACTCAACTTTGTACTAACTTTGTACTAATATGCATAAATTCAGTACCTTATTTGATAATTTATATTTCTTATATTTTTTTTGTACAAATGCACATATTGTACTTCTGTTTCTTTCTACACTCTGAGTCCCCTGTTAGAAAAGGTTTCCAATGCTACTTGTGTTTAAGGCTGCGGCGTATTTGGTGTTTTGGGCATGTGATGACATATTGGGCTAATAAATTATGAAGTTTCCCCATTGTATCTGATGGTTCCTTGCTGTACCCTGACACTTGTATTATGCACAGTACTTTGAGAAGGTGGAGAGATGGCAATGCTGTAGAGATCTTGGTGGCCCATGAAGCCGCAGTGCAAACTGTTCTTAAGCTGCCCTCGGGAGAACTATTTACGGGTAGAGCTTCCGCTTTGTATATCTATTACTTTACGGGAAGTATATTCGAGAGCAATTATGACTGTCCTTGGATATCTATTACTACCTCTGTAAAGAAATATAAGAGTGTTTGGATCACTGCTTTAGTGATCTAAATGCTCTTATATTTCTTTACGGAGGGAGTACTTGTCAAATGGTTGATTAATACTTTACACCTTTCCCCTTTTGTATAGGTTCAAGTGATTCCACCATCAAACTTTGGAAAGGAAGGATTTGTCTACATACATTCTCTGGGCATGCAGGTTATTTGTTAACTCCTGATGTGCACTGGTGCTTTTGACTTTTGTTGTGCTCATCCACACATACTTGATCGGTTGACAGAATGTTGTTCCATTGCAGACACTGTTTGTTGTTTAGCACAGATGCCAGGAATGGGTATACTCTCTGCATCACATGATGGGTAAGTTATCACTTGACTATTTCCACTTGCTTTTGAACGAAAGGATGGTGCAGTATAGTAGAAGCTGCTATTATTTGTTCTAAAATTGTAAATGAAGATATCAAAATTTCTCGTTTAATCTTGGATATTCGTACTAATATCCTGCCAGTGGTTTGCTGAAATAAAATGCTCATCTATTTGGCTTTTCATCATTTTCATTATCGTCTTACATTTTTTGTGCATCAAATTTATTCTTTCAGTTTACAGCTACTCATTTACATGATCACATATAATATTTTGTTTTGTCGCAGAACTATAAAGTTATGGGCATTAACTGGCCAACCCCTGTTGGAGATGATTGGCCATACCTCTCTTGTATATTCTGTGGATGCTCATTCATCTGGTCTTATTGCTAGTGGCAGTCGAGATCGCTCGGTCAAGATATGGAAAGGTGATTTATTTTGTATGCTTTAGAGAATTCTTGTTAAAATGCAGTGGCACTTGTTTATAGGATATAATTTTTTTTTATACTTTAATCTAGGTGTAGGCATTCGTTCTTCCTCTTTTTTTGGTATTTCGGTTTACTAAAATTGACAACCGAGCTAGCCTGGAAAGTTCTACAAACCGGAAGTTGGGTTCACCCAAACTCCGGCTTGCTTTTCGGTTTAAACCGAAATGTAATGTTAGCAGGTAATTCAATAGCAGAACAGGGTGCGCATGCTGTCAAATACTTGAATCTTGTCAACAGACCATGATTGAAATCCAGAATCTTGTTGAATCAACATGGCGCTGCTTCTCTTTGAATCCTTTGAATCGTCTTGTTGATGGTGACAGACTGGCAGGAGTGCTAGTCCGCTGATGGGCCTGCCGAGGGCAGTGCTGTTGGTTGTCGGGATGGATTGCACGCATGTCGGCTGGTAACTTTGTTTCCCTGTGGCCTGTCGTGATTGCATTGGTACGAGAGAGCAAGAGATGGGCCTAGGCGCCTAGCTGACTTGGTGGAGATCATGCCGGGCTTTAGTTGAGATTTTGATGTACTTGTTTTTTTTTGCTAAGCTATAAGGATGGTAGCATGGCCCTAGGAAATGGGGCCATAGGACGAGCCGGTTCTTTCAGTGCATTTTGTTAACCTGAACCTAAAACCGAACTGACTGATATTAATTCGGTTTTCTATATGTGACAACTGATCTATGGACCCAAGCTGATTTAACATTATATATTTCTCTTGTCTTTGTTTGGGTTTGTTTTTTGCTTTTTTTTATTGACATCTGTACTGAATGACTCTTTAAACCCTGACCGTTCCATTGGGGTTGCTATCGATTCCTCAGATGGTTTGTCTCCCTATGCCTCTGTCTAATGTTTTCTCCAAACAAAAATAATCCAGTCTATGATAGTACTTCCTGTTAAGTGGGATTCTGTTACAGGCAAAATATTGCACGGGATTCCATTATAGGCAAAAGATTGTAAATACGTTGACATCAAACATATTGGGCAGTGGCATATGGGAAAGGTAGTTCGTATTTAGCAATATAATGGAAACTGTGACAATCAGTAAAAAGAGATCTGCTGGTTGTCGTTAAGCATCTGTATTGCTGATTCCTCCTTTGGCTAGTCCATGAGCAGTTTGAGTCTTCTTTTCTTCCATATTGAAAATAAGAATCTCAATACCCACACTACCCGCCTTCTTTCACACTTGTATCTATGATGTAAAGCCGTGCTTGTTCTTGGGCTGCTGATTTGATTTGTGTGTTTCATGGATGCAGCTAGGATATATCTGTCTTGTTTTTTGGGATAGTATGTTTGGATTCATAATATGAACCATTGTAGAAATGAAAATTATATTGGAGGTGCAGTACATTGCAGTTTTTTGGTTTTGGTTGTTAGTACGTAGCAGAATGCAGAATTTTCTTCATGTACCTGGTTATATGACTGTAAGTAATATAATGCAGATGGAATCTGTGTTCAGAGCATTGAACACCCAGGCCGTATATGGGATGCTAAATTTTTGGATAATGGCGATGTTGTAACTGCATGTTGTGATGGAATTGTGAGGATATGGACAACTGGCAATAATAGGCCCTGCCGTGATGAGGAACTTGCAGCATATAGGTTGGTTCCTGATTTTCTTTTTTCATATTTCTGAGGTTTTAACATCTTCTGCTTAAAGGATCAGTTTTGTTGTCAGATTACTCCTGTAATTGTTATTTTAACTTTTTAATTTTTAGGCGACACTTTTTCTTGTCCAAAAAAAAGCCGGAATCATGGTGTTAATCAAATTATATTTATGCCTATTTTTTTCTCTACAGAAAGACTGTTGGTGGACTGAAGCTGATGGATCCATCAGGAGCTGCGGGAATGACACAACAAGGTCATAAATCTCATTTTTCTGATACGGTACACGTGTATTGTGTTGATTCCATGATGCTCCAACTATTTGTAGTGAATTTTGCAGGTCAGCTTATTATGGAGCTGAAAATTAAAATCGGATTGAAGATGCACTATTGCACACTGAAATAATTTCGAGCTTTTGAAAATATTCATATCTTTCTAGTTTCCAATAAACCTTCCTTCGTCAAGGAGATAACAATATAAAAACATTTTTTCTCTAAATTCTTTAGTGTCGTGGACTTGTGTATGTAAAGTAACTGTGACAATATCTAGTCATTGCCGTGCGTGTTATTTTTGCACAGTAGTGCAATGTTTGTAACCTTTTCCCCCTCTAAGCAGGAATCGTTGCACAAACGCTAATTGTTAGAGAGGGACACACCGGTGTTGCTTATTCATGGAATTCAAAAGAGCTAAAATGGGACAGAGTAAGTACCTTTGTACATTAGACCTTTCCAGAGTATTATATTAAGTTGTTACATCAAAGAATCAGCAAAGCTGAGGATATTACTGTGTTGCTTTTTGTAACTGCTTGATGCTGATTGAGTTATTTAACCTATATGCAAGTTGTTATGCAATTTGAGGTACCCGTGAGGCATCACTGCATGCCCACAGTAATGGTTCAAATTCACACATACAATCTTTGAATATGATAGGGTTCATGACACATACTCCCTCCGTCCGGAAATACTTGTCATCAAAATGAATAAAAAGGGATGTATCTAGATGTATTTTAGTTCTAGATACGTTCCTTTTTGTCCATTTTGATGACAAGTATTTTCGGACGGAGGGAGTATTTGTTACACATAAAATGAAATCTCATTTAGCACTCGATATACTTTTACCATGCCTGACCTGGCAGTGGCATTGTTCTTTGTATAGTTGTTACTTTGAATTCAGCTGTGACTTATCTTTTCATAAACGAAATTGTTAGATTGGTGAAGTGGTGGATGGGCCTGGGGATGGTTCATCAAGCACAAAGCTGAAATAATTATGGACTTTTGTGGGCTTAACCACCGCTTAGTTCAGTCTGGTATCTCCACATGGGATTCTTAGGCCCTGTTCGGCAGTCATCCAGCTCCGGGAGCGCGCGGAGCGATGCTTGGGCGACTCCTAGAAAATAGGCTGCGGGCCGCTCCGCTCCGGCGCGGAGCTGCAGAGCGGACAGCTGCCGAACAGGGCCTTAGAATCACAACCATGTCCAGACTTCTGAGGGGTTTTGATTTCTATATTATTTCATACTTGCAGTGGCTGGTTACTTTATGCGGATTTGAGTTGCTGCTAGGGATTATCATTTATATTAATTAACCATATTAACTGAACGTGCAGGGCTATCCTCCAACCACTGTGAGTAAAAATCAGTACCCTACCTCTTGGAGGGCCGCGCAGCCCTGCGACAGCATCCCAGAGGATATCATCATCTGGGAGATAATCCCCCGCCTGCCAGCGAAGGCCTTTGCCCGCTGCCGCGCCATCCGCCGCTTGTGGCGCCATGTCCTCACCTCCAACAGTGACCTCCTCCTCAAGCACCACTGCGCCCAGCCCTCCCACCCCATTGCCTCTTGCATGGAGCGCTCCGACCGCATGCTCTACGATCTCTGCGCCTTCGACCCGTGGGCCGGCGTGCTCTCACCCTTTGCTCAGCTCTGGGACCCCTGCCTCATGGTCAGGGCCTCCTGCGACGGCCTCCTCGTCCTCTCTAGGCCACGGTGCTTCTACGTCTGCAACCCGACCACCAGGGAATGGCTTTCCAAGTGCTTCCTTCCGCACTTCCTGGGGTTCTATCCCCACCGCTCTTCCGGAGAGTACAGGGTACTTTGCAGGAGCAGCCCGTCCCTGGACCCTCATTCGGATGACAAACCTTCCTACTACATCTTCACGTTGGTTCTTCGGAGCAGAGGTGCATCGGCCGGCCAGCGGCGTCGGCGTCCGAAGATGATGCACTGGCGGAGGGCAGTGTCAATACAACATCCTACCGCCCGTCGGTCCTGTTCCAGGAAGACCTGCACTTCTACCCTGTGAAGAAACATGGCAGCAACATGCTGATGGTATTCAATACCACTGCCGAGTCAATTCCGTTGGATGTCTGCTCCGGCTACCCCTGAGTCGGCCACTTTGTTTGAGATGGATGGCAAGCTCGTCCGCTACTACATCGATGAGGACATCACCATGATTGATATTTGTGTGCTACAGGACTATGATAATGAGGTCTGGGAGTTCAAGTACAAGATCAAGCTTCCAGTGGCAGACCTTCGTCTGTCAGCTCGATCACGTGGTTATATATCGCCGGTCTTGTATGAGAAGGGTGGTGTGCTCATCTCAATGCATAGCCGTCTTGTTCAAGTTGACACTCTGGGAAGTGTGAGGTCAGATATTATATGGAGTGGCTCGAATCTGTCGATTACGCCGTATAAGCTCAAACAAAGCCTGGTTCGTCACACATTCTTTCCGAGTCAACCTGGTGGCGCTTCCTCAGGGGGACCTTTCATCTGATGACTGGTTGGTGAGAAGGTGCTTCTTATTCTTATTGACATTAGTGTTACAATGCCTTGGAGCTTTTCTGGCATGACCTCATTGTTGTTTACAAACAATTCTGATCTTCCTTGTAACAATACCCTTGGAGCTTTTCTGGCATGACCTCATTATTGACATTAGTGCTAAATATTTATGTCTTGTTGTCCATGTCCTCCAGGAGTAGTATATATAGCACCATGCATAATCCTCTTTAGTCCTAGCCGGTTAACACATCTCTGTCTCACTCTTCCAGCTCGTTACTTACATCATATTTTCCATTCGTCTTACTGAAATTTTGCTTTGTACACGTGTTAAGCCCATACTTGAAAGGTTATCATACTCGGATGCATCTTTTGTCGTACACTAGCAAAAGAGCTTGTTGCAATGAGTACGAAATAATTAAATACTTCTTTCTAAATACATCTCTTTTTATTCATTTTGATGACAAGTATTTTCGGAAGGAGGGAGTATGTGCTTATTTTTTAGACAGTTCATACTCCGGTGTGAGTGGATAATAGGGGAACTAACTTAACTTAGCCCATCTCATTTAAACTGAATGTGCCATGTTAGGTGCTCTCATCCCGAACGCTTTTAGGCCTTTTTTGGTTCATAGGATATGATTATCATAGAAATAGGAATCTTGTAGGAAATGGGATGTCATGTATCTCAAATCCTATGAGTAGGAATAGGAAACAAGATGTCATTTGGTTGACACCAAATGAATTTTTTCATTGAGTCTAAACTCTTTTTTATTTTCCTATGAAGGCCACTTTTGGTTCATAGGATATATGATTATCGTAGGAATAGAAATCTTGTAGGAAATGAGATGACATAAAATCTTGTAGGAAATGAGATGACATGTATCTCAAATTCTACGAGTAGGAATATGAAACAAGATGTCATTTGGTTGACACCAGAGGATTTTTTCCATTGAGTCTAGGCTTTTTTTTATTTTTCTATGAAATGTAGAGAATAGGAATCAATTCTATGTAGGAATAGGAGTCCATTCCTATGAACCAAAGGGCTCTAAAGGAAAAAATCCTATAAGAATCATATCCTCTAGAATTCCTATGAAATTCCTCTAAACCAAAGGAGGCCGAAATGTGGAGGATAGGAACCAATTCTATATAGAAATAGGAATCCATTTATATGAACCAAAGGACTCTAAAGAAAAAAATCCTATAAAAATCCTATCCTCTAGAATTTCTATGAAATTCCTCTAAACCAAAGGAGGCCTAATTGTTGTTGGATCGAGAGCATGAACGCTTTTATTTGTTGGATCGAGAGCATGAATCTAGGCGCACGATCCTTGCCACGTCATCAGCTGGTATTGTACTGGTCCGAGCTGAAGTTCGCCAGAATGCCTCGCGCACCGTTAGGCTAGTCATAGTGGGAGTAACTTAGCTAGTAATATAGCGCACTTCAAGAAATTTTTGCTTATGTGGCAAGTATTCAATATGAGGTAGTAACATAATACTCCCTCCATTCCACAATATAGTGCTTCCTCTATCCCCGTGCTTCAATTTTGACCGTAAATTTAACTATCAAGACCGATTGCGGCGGGAGCAAAAGTTATATCAGTGAATTCGTATTCGAAATAAGTTTTTAATTATGTAACTGTTTCTCCCGCCGCAGTTGGTCTTGTTCGTTAAATTTATAGTCAAAGTTTGACCTCACAAAGCGCGGACGTACTATATTTTGAAATGGAGGGAGTATGTTACTGTAACATAGCGCTTCCCAAGACAAGATGAGTCTACAAGCTAATAAATAAAGTCATCTATGACACTACTATTATATTACTTTGCATTATGAATGTAGTAACTTAAACTAGTGTCATGCATATAACACTAGTCTAAGTTATTCCCCACTATGACCAGCCTAACTCCACCGCTCCACACTCCATCCCCCACTCCCCAATGCGGGCTTTGCTAGACACAGGGACGGATTTTTACAGGTTTCACGGATTGTCACATGTGGCATCGTTTGATTGGGATTAAGGAAAGGAAAGAGGTTAATTAGCACTAAGGCCTCCGTAAAAGTCCGTTATATGCCCGTGAGTGTAGGATTATTGCTTATCCGCTATGCTCGTCGCCGGAATCAAAGGAAAGGCGGGGACAGAGGCAAACGCCAACCGGTGGTAGGAGAGATGCGCGGGTGGCGAGGCTGCGGGAGGGCGGCGACCGACAGGCAGCAATCTGTTGACCTGCGGGAGGGCGGCATCCGACGGGGGCACCAGGCTGCGGCCGTCACAAGTGGAGAGCGCATCCAGTGCTCGCCGTCGCGATGGACGGCGGCTTTCCCCTTGGTCTCTGTGCGCAGCTGCTGCTCGTGTCACACCCTAATTTTCACGCCACAACACTTATAAGCTAATAAAACATGAAGAAATGTGGTTTAATAAAAACTTTTGAGTGTTTTGGTCTTTTTTTTGATTTGGATTTTTGTGCTATTTTCAAGTCCTTAAAAGTTATATAGTAACTTCTACCCCCATAAGTGCATCGATGCACGCAGCGCATCAACGACACGCGTGGCATCGAGATTCGAAGCGGCGAGCATGCTAGTTAGAGTATAGGCAAACTTTTGAAGAGCGAAATGCAGCGTATACGCGTACTCAGTGCACA